ATGTAGGTACCACCAAGTGAGAAATGGACCTTTGGTGTGTAAACCTAAACACCGCTCAAAGTCTTATTTGCGCCGGCTAGCCACTCAGAAGGAACGAGGTGCACTAGTTAATAATGGCCGGGAATGAAACGAGGACGATTTCATTCGTAAAAACTCTATCAAGGTACAATATTGTAGATTGTTTGTAACTTAACCATATAATACTCATTTCATGTCCATCACACATCTCAAGCTTATCTATCTACATACATACAGTCGAAGCTCTTTATAGCGACATCGCAGGGGACTGTCGTTATTGAGAACTGTCATTATAAAAGATAGTCGTTATATAGAATTTGAATGTCGTTATAGAGAGAGAAACGTTACTCCATGCTAAAAATCAAAGTATATTTTTAGATGATTCCAATCGATTTTTAACAATACCAATACATATCGTTTAAGATTAAAACCAAGTAAATTTCCTTTCATTCATCCCCTACACCGTTTGAAAAATTCATGTAAATTTCGTGTAAATTTAAGCGCAATAACGCTTTAATTGGCAATGTTGTATGCAAGCTTGTAAACGATTTCGTTGTTTATGCCAACTGTAGCTCAAAATTAAACGAGGGGAGATATTACCTGATAGTTAAAATTCAGAATTTTTTTCTGTGTAGAACCTGTTTTTTAATTCAAAAAATTTACTGAAACTGTCCTTTGGCAGATCTTCCGTAGTTAATAAACCAGCGTATATTGTTTGGTAAGCATCTGAAAGTTGATACTTAGAAGGCACGCTGGTTACTTCATTGTTAACAGTTTCATCAGTCGCTGAGTGATTTTTATCATCGATACTGCTGCAATGATGAACAATTCTGACTATGTCATCGTCAGTCAAAAGTTCTCCTTCACAAAGGCCGTCGTCAAAAGTCACGTAGTCTGAAATACACACATTTCATAAATAATGTTATTATAAACATTCATGTTTATACCTCCAAATGAATTAACCTTTCTCAGTGAGCATTTAAAATTTTGATTAAAATAAACTTTCTTCAGTAATATCTGATATCAGTTTCAATGTTACTCTCATTAATACATATTAAATTGTTTGGTTTGACAAAACCAGCTTTGACGAAGCAATTAACAAATTTGGATTGTTTAACGTTGTTATGCCATGCATCAGTTATCATGTTAATGTAGTAAATCAATGTTCAGTGATTCACCATTTTCAATAGCATTCAGTTGATATTTCAAAAGTTTGTTGCGGTAGTGCACTATCAAAGACTTAATTATTCCAAGATCAAGTGGTTGGAGCATGGAGGTTATATTTGGAAGAAAATATGCCAGTTTTATATTTCTCAACTTTTGCTGAACGTTTGGATGGCTGGGACAGTTATCGATAAACAAAATTATTTGCCTTCCTTCAATCATCATTCTTTCATTAAGTTTAAGTACCCATTCTTCGAACATGAAGCTTACCATCCATGCTTTTTTGTTGCTTCTAAAGATGACTGGCAGGCTCTGTATATTTTTAAAGCAGCTAGCTTTAGCACTTTTACCAATGATCAGAAGCTCCAACTTTTCGGATCCGTCCATATTTATAGCAACTGCAACATGCAAATTTATCACTTTTGAAACAGTATGTTTTATTGGGTAAGCATTTGAAAAATCAATCCGTCTCATCCATATTAAACACATTTTGTGGACTGTAGTCAGCAATCAAGAGTGGCAACATATCGGATATGAATAGCCCAGCGTCATCAACATTTACAGCTCCACTTTCTCCACTAGGAATTTTGTACGACAATCCATTCCTATTAACAAAGTTTTGAAGTCTTTCGTTGCTCGCTTTAAAAGAATCAAGAATCATTTTCTTTGCCAGTTTATTTGCTTTTTCTTTTATAATCACGCTAGATATCGGAATTTTGTACGAAATCGCTTGCTGGCAAATAACATCAGAGCTTTTCTAATGGAACACACTGAACCAGGCGAGTTTTTTTGCGTTGCAGTGAAAACAAACGGGCCTGTAATGAAAACTTTGTTAAGATAGACTTTATAGCATTTTCAATCAATATCCTCACCTTTTGCTGAATCTGTTCTTTATTTTTTATGATGGATGAAATAGTATAGTGCGGCACTTTGAATTCTTCGGATAGTGTTTTATTTTAAAAACCATTTTTGAATTTTTCTGATGCTTCCAACGACCAACCAATCATATAATTACCAAAATCGGAACGTACGGTACGAGATGTCCACGTTTCACCCATTTATTGGATTCTGAAGTATCGTGTTTACATCTTCGATTTAAACAGGCCTGATGTTTTCTGAATCATCTTGCCCCTTAAATGCTGCACAGTAGGCCTGGCCGTTTTGATATGTGTGACGCATCTTTGATGTGAAACATATATCAAATAGACAAGAAAAATTATGGAGGTATATCCATCATTTTCCAGGATGCTTTTAAGAACTGGCTGTGTTGGTGTTAGATTAGATTAGATTAGATTAGATTAGAAACACCATTTTCGAATTTTTCGATTACGTTCAGTTTATTCTGTACACAGCAAAACATAAATATAAATATTATATTCGAGGGGTGCACTTCAATAATGTCAGTTCATGCACTGTATTCATGATATTTTTTTTCCTTTTTGGCAAGTAATATTACACCATATTTTTGACACGATTGAAGTGCATTCACTTTTATGTGATTTAATTTTTTGCTGTGTAATGTTAATGCTTTTTTTAGTTTTTGAACTCATTTTTGACCGTGAACTGAAAGCGAAAGCAATGAACTTTTACTTGAATTTTAATGCATCTGTTTATTAACAAAAACACGTAAGTTAAACACTGCGCGAAAATCTCGTACAGGTGGTCAAAATTCAGTTTAAATGTAGTCAAATTTGGTATATGTGTAATATCTATTGTTTACAGATAGATGGATTCCATACCATAGGAATTTAAGTAAAATAAACAATACCGATGGTTAAATTGTTGAACATGAAACAAATCTACGGGCAAAAAACATCTTTTATTAAACCTTCAAATGTAATAATGTCTACGGCTATAAAACCACTCTGAGATGTAAATAGTACCTTCATGATACTGAAGAATGTCGCAAAAGAGAATGACAAGTATGGATAAAAAGCAACGATGGTGTGTCGTTATGGAGAAAGGTCGTTATAGCGAAATGTCGCAATACAGAAGAGGATCTCTATGATAGTTTGAAGGGACCTGTGGAAATGTCATTATAGAGCGATTTGTCACTATAAAGATGGTCGTTATAAGGAGCTTCTACTGTACATTAATCTTATCTGCTACACGTGACGTTGGGGCCCCTTGATGTCACTTTAGCTGCATGCAATCTTGTCGATCTCCGATGGGGTCATCACCCTTTGTTGCATCGCAGATCCATGCACTCATGCACCGCCGTCGCACAGCAATGGTGTGTTGCAACCAACGTCGAATCTCTATTTTGAAGCACGGTCGGTGACCGTTGCGAGCTGCGCTGACTCTTGTCGCGCCACTCACTGTGCCGATGTAGTAGTGCGCGTCATGCAGCGACCCTTCCGTTGCGCCATTGTAGCCCGTCGCACCGTCTTATTGATCCTGCACTTGCACTGCACGTTGCACCGCTGCACTAGGCAGCCTGGAAGAGAAAATACCGACAGAAGATTGGCCCACTCCAGGCCACGGTCCACGGAGTTTCGCGACTAGTCGTCCGAGTGGCACGATCGCTGCCGTACTGGACTGCCAAGGAATTAGATCTGGAAATAAAGGCCCTCTGTCGAGGTGACACAACGTTACATCGATTGTATCGAAGACTTCCGAGAAAAAAAAAATATCAGAGCAATCGTATTTTAGATTAATAGAAACAAAATTGAGGAGAAGAAGAGAAAATAAACAGAATTGAAAAGGAATCTTATTGTCAAAAAAGCTGTAGAAGAATTTTAAAAAGGATTCCGGCAAACAAAATTATGCATATAGAAACTTCTATAATAATATTCTAAAGAAGCTTCCTCTGGATGCTTATTTTAGAATCTATAAGAAGCTGCTTTTAGAAGTTTATTCTAAAGAAGTTTATTTTAGAAGCTTATTCTAGACTCTTGCCCGTCGCTCCGCTCCTCTGACTAAAAAATAACATGAGCAGGACAGTAAAACTGAGTAGCTAGGCAGTAATGGAGCAATTTTTCAAGGTTTATGCATCAAAATTATGTCCAAAACATGAAAACATGAAACATTTCTAATGTATGGCTCATAGCAATATATTTCAGTGAGCAAACTTGATTTTTTATGGACCAATTTCGTTAGTTTCTGATTCATTGTTTAAAGTGTTATGCATAATTTGCAATATTTGTGTGAGTAATTCGTACAATTTCAATGCTCATTCTTAAAAAATTGAGCAGTACATTTTTACAATCATAAGACAATTTTTAAAGATTTTCGTCGGGGTTTTGAATTTTTATCAGGAATATTTTTTATTTCTTATGGGTCGTTTCATCAATTCTAATGGTGCATACTGGTGCCGGGCTGCAGAAAGACAACACAGTAGAAGTGGAGAAGTCTCAACAAAGAAATATGATTTGGGCAGACATTGTAAGTCAAGGAGGAAGTAAACAATCCCCCGAGGGCTTCTTAGTATATTTGAACGAATGAACTTTGCGTACAAATTTTTAATAGTTGTTGTTTGGTCATGAGCATGGGGCATGAGTCAAAATGTTTACGAAGAGCATTTGTAGAAGGTGCACCATAGTGCTCATCATCAACCAGTTCTTATTCTCTACAACACAGCACATCTTTTCCACTAGAGAAACATAATCCTTAAGCGGTAATTCACCATCTTCGTAATCCACCGCCAACAGCAGCTTTCGGTCTCGGTCTGAAGGCTGGCATTTGTTTCAATTTGCGTTCTTGATTCTAAATGTGCACCGGGCTTCCCCCGGCGGGTGTTTTCGCATTTTCCTTTTGTTTGTTCCGTCCTGCATTGAACCACAATTATACTTACGCAAGACTTTACATTCCCATTGCAGATTCGACGCCCGTGACTCCCGCGAGGGTTCCCACCGCAGTTCCAACACGTCCTTCGATGGACGGGCCAGCTTCTACCCGAACCGGACGCCGGCGGTGCTAGAGGTCCGATCAACGAAAAACTCCGACAGCGGCGTCTATCGGTGTCGGGTCGACTTCAACAAGAGTCCCACGCGGAACACCCGGGTGCAGCTGTCGGTTATAAGTAAGTACCATTGCTGCCATTCGTTCTTGGGTTAAGACGAGGCTATGGATGATTCATGTCCTTAATAGAAGGAAAGCTAATCGAATCACTGCCGCCACCGCGGAGGCATAATTCTTCCGGTGTTCAACTGCGGGAACCAGGAAGGAACATGTGTTCGTCTTTGGTTTCCTTCGTGTTTTTTTTTTGTGGAGTTGGAGGTTCCGGTTGGTTGGCTGGTTGAACGTAAATCATCATAAAGTATTACCCAGGGGGTGCGCACTTTTGCTCGGTTGAATTATCCTCGTTTTCACGAGTTCTCCCGGCAACCAGCGTTACGATTCAGTTGGTTTAATCGAATTTCCAGCACCGGTTTTGTTCCACCCTTTGTAGGAGGGGAGTACACGTAGTTTGATTACCGGGAACTGCGGGTTGGAAAATTTTGAATCCATCTTGTGCAGTTTCTGCTCCCAACCACACAAGAAGAACGACTTTTTACAGCATTCAAACAATGTGGTTGAGATTTAATCAACCAAGCCAAAATCCGGATACTGTAAGCAAGCAAGCAAGCAAGATGCCCCTAGTCTTCTGTGATGGGATGGAACGTTCCAAAACGGGGTGTTCATGCGGAAGATAGTCATTAGGGAGATAGCTTCAATTATTTTGGTTCAGTAAAGTTCAATCGGAATGCACTGGCTCAATAAATTCTATCTAGTGTCGTTTTGCTTCTGTGTGTCTGTCTGTGGGGAAGACATGTTAGGTCGGCAAATGCTTGAAGGCTAATGAAAGTTTTCCCCTTCGATGATCTTTGGTAATCGGATTGAACTGTGCTTTTGAGTTTAGTGATAAATGCAAATCGAAATTTTTGTGTTGCTCTCCTTATCAAGGAGGATGCACTTTAACCACGTTGAAAATATGGGATAATTTAAATAGTCACGGGAGGACAGCGAATGCTTTGAAGTAAGTTGATATTGAGAACATCAATTTAGATTCATGATGTTATGTTGATTCGTATGAACTTCTGGTACTCGAGTAACAATTTTTTTTTCCTTGTCGGGTATTTTCATCACTGCGACCATTTTTCTGATCTATTGTGATATATTCCCCATTTTTTTTTTCTTTAGCTATATCAAGATGCCGTATCACTATTATTAGGAGTGATCGCCATCGTTTAACTAAAAGCATTATCCCAGCACGGCATTATACTTCGAATAAAGTGCACTGCCGTACTGGAAGTTGTTCTCCAAATGTCAAAGGGTTCTATCAACCCCTTGTCGAAGAACTTACGCCTTTTATTGAAAATTGCCGGACAGTGGCATAGCAAATGTTCCGAGTCTTCCTTTTCTATGCCACAGAAGCGACATACATCATATTGAAGTTTTCCAATCAGCTTCAAGTGATAACGGCTCGGACAATGACCTGTTATAAGACCTGCATATATACTAAGATCTTTCATAGAAAGTTCCAGAATTTTGTGGGTCACATAAATGTTTGGATTAATAAATCGCTTCGACTGCCTAGCAATGGAAGTGTTCTTCCAGTTTTCCTCCACTTTTGAAGATTCCCACGCTTTTAGCTCCATTCTAAGAGATGCAGCCGATAAGCCACAAAAGGGCTCTGGCCCGATGAACTTATCTTCTCATCCGAGTCTTGCTAGTGCATCAGCTCTTTCATCTCCCTCAATCCCGCAATGACCAGGAACCCAATATAAGTTGACTTGATTATGACAAGACAATTTTTGAAGTGATTGAACACACTCCCAGACAAGTTTTGATGTACATGTCGCCGACTTTAAAGCATTGAGAGCAGCTTGACTGTCGGACATGACGCATATATTTGAACTCTTATAGTTTCTACGCAAACATATAACGGAACACTCTAAAATTGCTTGGATTTCAGCTTGGAACACAGTTGGCCATCTGCCCATAGGAACCGATATTTCTATTCCTGGGCCAGTTACTCCTGCTCCCACTTGATTGTTCAATCTTGAACCATCTGTATAAAAAATAATCGATCCTGGACGAAGAACCGGGCCACCAAATTGCTATGAATTACGCCCAGGGTCAACTACTCGAAAAAGTCGATTGAAATTGTATCTTTTCTCCATTCAGTCTTCGTTGTTCCTTACTAGAGAGTTGACATTAACAGTTTTTAGAATTGTAAGATGTCCTCTAAGGTCTCCTTCAAAGAGTTTCACTGACCTTGTAATCCTTAGAGCACACTTTTCGGCTTCTAATTGTACAAATTGATGCAATGGTATCATATAAAGCAAAGCATTCAATGCCTTCGATGGTGTACTACTCATTGCACCTGTTATTGAGAGAGTTGCTAACCTTTGGAGTTTTTCTAACTTTCTCTGAACAACACTCTCTTTTGTTTTTGGCCACCAGACCAATGCACCATAAGTAATCCTGGGTTTCACAATTGCCGAGTAAATCCAATGGATCATTCTCGGTTTCAGTCCCCACTGTTTACCGAATGTTCTTTTGCACATCCATAGAGCATTAGTAGCTTTGTTTATTGCCTGCTCTAGGTGCATATTCCAATTAAATTTACTATCGAGGATTACTCCAAGATATTTGACAGCATTAGAAAGTTCCAAAAGTGTGCCTTTCAATCTTATGTTGTCTAATGAAAATTTCTTCCTTCGGGTAAATGGCACGATAGTAGTTTTAGAAGGATTTATGTTTAATCCTTCCTTCCCTATCACGATGAGACAAAATTTAAAGCAATTTGCATTCTGTTAGCAATAATACAATCATATTTGCCACGTACAATTATGACTATATCATCTGCGAAGCCAATAATTTCGAAGCCATGGGCTATTAAATTTTTGAGAAGATCATCAACTATTAAATACCACAATAGAGGTGATAACACGCCTCCTTGCGGGCATCCTTTGGTTGCTCTTACACTGATGAGTGAGCTTCCAAGGTTTGCTGATATTTCTCTTTTTGATAACATTTCATTGATCCAATTTAGGTAATGGGCAGCAACAGCGGACAGATAAACTACTTAAAGCTTATATTTATTAAATGCTTGATATAACGATTGCCAGCAACGCCGGCTGGGCGTATCCTATGGCTAACCCTCCCTACTAACAAAAATCGACCCTTCCCGTGGCACTTATGAGGGGTCGTAGAGTTCTCTGCATCTCTGTTAAGTAAGTGTCGGACTAACATTCCTCCCCTTTCCCCACCAGATGCAAGGACGTGGCCAGGACAGCTCTGGTCTGTTGGAGGGAGACTCATCCTTTATCTAAGAGGTAGTAATTATTCATAAATTACTATCTAACAGCAACGGATGAAGGTGGGTCTCCTTCTTATCAACAGTTTGGAGCTCGTACCATCTACGGAATTGTGCAACCTGGTTTATGCTATGCTATCAATCCAAATTGCTATAACTATTGGTGCACGAGAACCCAAAAAGGGTTTGAAAACTATCATGTTTACTGTTAAATATTCGTGCTCCGAGTCACCTTGGAAACGATCCGCCAATTTCGGTAGATCATCAAATACTTCACCAGGAATTTTTCCATTCGATGACCAATACATTCATATTCAGCAAAGCACTGAATATACCCTAGTCATAGAAAAGCTTTTGCAGTGCATTCGAACATTCTCAACCTGCTCTTCCCCACTCGGCAAGTAGGCGAGAATGCACGGAAAATTTCCATGCAATGTTGTATACATCAATATTCCATGAGTAAGTGCTGCTTCGAGTGCAGGAAAATCAATGCACTGACCGGTAAAATATTTTGAAAAGCTCTTTGGCAAATCTGCTGATGGAGCTCGAGATAAAATATGCATACCCATAATTGAATTTCCCCCCTGGACATTGCTTATCCGATTTGTTGGAAATTTTTCGATGGAACTTCAACTGCAACACCATGGCAACTTAATTGGTGATGCTTGCACACGTCATCGCATCGTACGGAAAACAAATTCGCATCAGACATGCGTCTTCTTGGTTCAGGCAAAAAGGAAACCATAACAGAATAGCAACTTTCACAATAAATTTCATTCACACATTTAGTCGGAATTTTTTGGCTGCGACTGCTGCTGCACCATCCACCGACCATTTATAACACGGCTGACTGGTAGTGAAGCAATTGAAAATACCAGTTGCTGACAGTCCTGGAGTTTTGGGGCAGACTGGAAGGCTCTCCGACTGCCCTTCCATTACGTTTTGTTCCGGGCATTCTTTCCAACCCCGAGACCTGCTCTGCCCTGCCATGACGTCTGCATTGCAATAAATTTACACCATTACCACGTCGCCGCCACGCCATTGGATTGCATTTCACAGTGCCGTATTCGTCGTTGGTTGCATTTATGTATGAGCGAGCTTCGTCGGTGCTGCTTTAGAGAACGATAGGCAACTCACAATAAATGTTTTCACTCACAGAGGGAAACACAATAGTAATACTAGCAGCAGCAACAGCACTAGCAACACAATGTGACAACAGAGTGGTGGAAACGCGGCACGGCACCGGTATTTGACATCAACACTATGTTTGGTTAACCTCTGAGTCGAGGTTCAGGACTGGACATGGCAGCACCACCCCGGTGGTGGTCTTTTGTCCTTTCGGTCGGCTGTTTGGAAGATGGAATTCGAACGGAATAATGTGGGATCGGACTTTGATGAAGAAGAATGTGCAATTTGTTTGGGGTTTTCTTCCGTCGGTTTGATGCTCAATGGAATTGAAATCAACGGCTAGAGATGCAGAATCCTGGATAGGGGGAATCGGGGTACGACGGACGCATTAAGGTCTGAGGTCACGTGTTCGTCATTTTCGATGGTTCATTGAAAAACTAGGCTTTAAATTCAATTATCTCGAATATGGTAAAGATAATTCAGAAATCCAAACTGACAATCTTTTCTAATAAGGCTAAAGAAAATTCTGTGAAATGGTCAAAGCCCTGGGAGTTCCCAAATTTATCACAAAAAAAAAGATTTATTGTCACCATTTATGGCACCATAATGCAGTGACTTTATGTCTTTCGCTTAAGGTTTTTAATTGTTGG